ACAACCGACAGAGTATATGTTTACAACTGACCGAGCATTGTGCACAACCGACAGAGTATATGTTTACAACTGACCGATCAGTAATGCATTGTGCCCAACCGACAGAGTAGTGCGTACAACCGACAGATACTGCAACCGACAGGGTAAAGTGTACAACCGATAGAGTAGTGCCTACAACCGACAGAGTAATACGTTGAATGGACAGAGTAATGCGTCCAACCTACAGAGTATAAATTTAACCGACAGTCTCTCTCTGAACGCCAGATATCAAAAAGAGAGGTATGGAAAATCAGCAACAAATGATGCCAAATAGGTGATAAGAGATAAACGAACAAGACAATGATACATGATACAACTGACTAAATAATTTTGAAACAAACGACGCACCATATAAGTGCTTAACCACTATAGCTATCAAAAAACTGAGTTAAATGCTATCCAATAACTACTTTTTATTGCCATTAGACAGTCTAGTTTACTGCAATCCACTAGTTACGTCTAGTTTATTCCTATCTGTCGTGCCATTTCTTCATGTCAATAGCTAGTTTACTTCTATCTAATGACTAGTTTCTAACTATGTCAATGATGTCATTATTGGCAAAAAGTTATCTGAAAACTAGCATCTTAGCCTATGAAAAGCTAGTTTTACTCTATCCTATGTATATCCAAAAGCTAACAATTGCAGTAACGTAAAATTTCATTTTTAAGATAGTATTAAGATATATAGCCTATCTGCATGGTTCCAAATAACTAGAAAATAGTTATTATGACCAAGATAAGCTTAAGGTGATTAGTTAATAGTAGCTACACAGGACATGAAGATAAGAATAAACTAGAAACGAGATAGCTTGTCACGGAGATAGTTTCATTAACTAGCTGAAAGATAGAAAAAAGATAGTGTCTTATTTGTTATTTCGTAAGCTATAGGAAATATCTTGGACGGTTTTTTCTGCTTATTTCCTAATTTGAGATTAATCCGTCAACTGGAATTTCAGTGAACCTTGTGGTATTGTTGTATTATACAGTATTTACTCGGATTGAGACATCCGACTCGGATGTCGGAAGTCGAGCGTGGTCTGAGCTGTATTGTTTTTGCAGCCCTGCCAACGTCTCCAAATTTCTCCAGACAATATTTTATTACACAAAATATCATCTTTCAAGGGCATCTAAAGTGGTTAATGACTCAGATGAAAAAGTCAACAATCGGAAGTCAGAACTGGGCCTTCCTGCTCAGCAGTTCCGAGTTCCTGTTTTCTATTTTCGGGTTCCAGGGGCCCTTTTCTCGAAGGTCCCGGTAATCATACCGAGCCCGAAAGGCTGTTTTACGTGTGCCGTGTTTAAATTCGGATGCGAATCTAAAGTCATAGGTCTCAGATAAGATCCAAAAAAATCCACCTTCCGATCATTTTGATCAATGGTCGTTTTTGGATTTTAGTACGAAACGTACCCTCGGAACTAAACGGCTCAGAAAAATCACATACTAAAAACTAAGACATACAGGTCACGTTTCTGGTATTTATCACTTACGTTTCACCGTTACGTAATCCCTGTAACAAACAACGCTAGTTAACAATTATTCTACGAGTGCGCGTTGGATATGAGATGGTAGATAGCTAACGAGGCGCCGAGTTGGCTATGATCATCTCATATCCAACAAGCGCGAGTGGAATAATTGTTTTATAGGTGGTTTTCATGCAGTCTCGGGAGACACAAATAACAATGGTGAAATGAGCAAATGCTGGTGGGCAAACAAAGCGAGCTAATGAGCGATCTTTTGTTTACCGTCCACCAGGATGCGGCGATGACGTAACGTGAAAACCACCTATTAAAAAGCCCGGCTTTATTTTGTTAGAACAAACCGGAAAATCGTTAATGTTCATTTTGCAGGTTACGTCGTTACGTGATTGAAAATCTGAACATCGAAAATGTTACATTTTGTGAACAGCATTGATACAATGTTGCTTGTCAAAATGCCAAAAGGCCACTCTCGATAAATTAAAATGCAGCATGATAGCGAGTCTTAGAGGACATGTTTAGTCATTTTCTTTTGTGTTCTCTTACAAGGAAATTAACATAATTTTCTAAAATAACTTATTTATGCACTCGACTCGCTATCATGCTGAATTTTAATATATCGAAAGTGGCCTATTTTCATGAGCCTTTAATTATCCAAATACTGAAACAATCCCTTCTAGTTCTAAATGCCACTCAGCCATAAGTGGCTTAACCTTGCCTTGACCTGCTTGAGCGAATGTTTGGATATCACAGCAAAACTTTCCCTCTAATATCTCTTTCTTTTACCAATATTGATATAAAAGGAGTGTTCTTCGACTCTTTAAGACCGATTACGGCGATTCATTGTCAGCAGAACGGATTTCTCCTAAACAGACATGATGCTCTGGAAAACTGTCAGCCTGCTTACCTTGGTATACATATTGTCAAGTAAGTACTATATTTGCTTCAGAATTTCGTAGAGAAAAAAGTAGGTGTTAAAAAGATTTTCGGCATATGCATTGCATACAGCTTTAGAATAGCGTTGGAAAAGAGTTTGCTCCTCTGATCTGTGATCAGATACCCTTGTTCATGACAAGAGCAAACCTTGTTCAATTTCGAAATTAAACTCAATTTCGAAGTTAACCTCGAAATTGCCATTGTGTTCACAGTATGAATTCGGCGGATGATGTAGTGATATATTTAACAATTATTCCACGAGTGTGCGTTGGATTTGGCTACAATCATCTCATATCCAACAAGGGCGAGTGGAATAATTGTTTCATTAAAAACGCCCACAAAATATGGAGAATTCTTCCCGACTTTATTTGTAAATAAAACTACCGAGTTTCAGCTTGTTTTTCATTTTGAGCAGACGCGTACAGTTACCATATTTGGAGAGTATGGTATAATGGCTCATATACCATGATGGCTAAGCCAATCAGAGCTCTAGAATTGCATTATCCAATGATTCAGTTTTTAATAAATACTAAATATAGTTGCGAATTATAGATCATCACGCCTATGACATCTCTTGTAGTCAGCTCATTATCTTTTGTTGTGGTTGAACAAATTAGCATTTTTTCTTTTCTTTAATTATTTTTTTACAAGAGACTAGTAGGTCCAATTATTTTTTTCGCGGCAAATCGATTCAAGAGAAGTAGACCCCCAAAGCATAGATTGGTTCTTTAGTAGTTTCAAATTTTGAACTGTATCTATTCGATNTCCACGAGTGTGCGTTGGATTTGGCTATAATCATCTCATATCCAACAAGGGCGAGTGGAATAATTGTTTTATTAAAAACGCCTAGAAAATATCAAGAATTCTTCCCGACTTTAGTTGTAAATAAAACTACCGATTTTCAGCTTGTTTTTAATTTTGAGCAGACGCGTACAGTTACCATATTTGGAGAGTATGGTATAATGGGTCATATACCACGATGCCTAAGCCAATCAGAACTCTAGAATTGCATTATCCAATGATTCAGTTTTTAATAAATACTAAATATAGTTGCGAATTATAGATCATCACGCCTATTACATCTCTTGTAGTCAGCTCATTATCTTTTGTTGTGGTTGAACAAATTAGCATTTTTTCTGTTTGTTTTTTTTTAATTATTTTTTTACAAGAAACTAGTCGGTCAAATTATGTTTTTTGGCTGCAAGTCGATGCAAGAGAAGTAGACCCCAAGGCATAGATCGGTTCTTTAGTAATTTCAAATTTTGAACTGTATCTTTTCGAGGGCATAATGATTTCGCCTGGTTTATCCTTAGTCCCGAGCTGTCTTTTAACTGCATGAGTGAACTAAACAAATTGCTTATTGTCTCTCTAGTTTCTAAGGAACAAGGCGAATACCCCTAAATACTCTTAGCTACAATGTTTTTTTTTTTCAGAAAATGAACCTATTTAAGAACCTACCCTAAATACCTTAAATTTGCAACTGTGCTAATTATTATTTTATGTAAGTACCTGTTCGGCTATCTTGGGAAAATGCAGGATCTTAAAACGCAGGCTTTTACTGTATTCATCATTTTATTGCTTGGAAATCTTGTAATCCTAGAATGCGAAGCTTGCAACGAGACTCACGTGGGTGCAGACAGTGGTGTCCTTCAGTCTCCGAATTTCCCGCACAATTACCCGAATGAAGCCTACTGTTCCTGGAATATCAGAGTCAACCAATCACAGCACGTGTTTTTGATGTTCTCATCAAGTTTCAGTTTACAGGCTGAAAACAACACAGATGTCATTCTTGTGTACGATGGAGGGAATACCACAGGGGAGGAGTTGGGAGTGTTTTACGGAGGACACCCGCCCCCTCAGGATGGACTCTATTCATCAGCAAACCAAATGTTTGTGGTTTTTAAAACGGACAACAACAAATCTTTCTCCGGTTTCCAAGCTTCCTATCACGCCTTAACGTGTTCCGGTAAGGATGTTTCAGAACAACTGACCTTCTTCTAGGCCACAATGCAGTTTCCATTCAAATTTTCAAAGGCAATAGGCCACTTCCGAGTTCCGAAAACCCTCACTTTCAAAATGAGGCCAAGTGCACAGCCATTCTTGTGAAATTGAGTTTTATTTGCATGAGAATGAAAAATCATCTCCATATCAATGGCTAAGCACTAGTCGTTTTGATACAGAGGCCCAGGGGAACTCGGATATGGCCTACCTTGCATTGCCATCAACCTCGAGACAGGCAGAGGGAGCAATCTTTTTACGTAACTTCGCGCGGTAGCTTCAAGCCTTGACGAAGACCGGCGAATGAAGGCGTTGTTGAAACTTCACTTTTAAAATCATGTTTAAATCGTTGTAGATTATAAACACTACTTATCGACCGAGAGTGATGTCCGAGATTACAGGGAAATCTCAGACCGAGGCTTTGATGTAATAGGGAGCTTATAAGCAACAAGGACGGCGACGGCTACAAACGTCACTTATTCGCTTATTCTGTCTCGTTTAATTCGTGAAATGTTGGCAAATTTTTTTGGAGTTAAGTTCTAAAGGACTGTATCAAAGTTCAGGAAAGAAAAAGAAACTTGTTGTTGTGTGTTCCCGTCCTCGACAAAACTGCGTGCAACAACAGCAAAGAAATGTACAATAAAGCGTGATGCACGTGCAACGTTGTTGTTTTGCGAGTATAAACCTTTTCCTTTTTGGCCGTTGTCGTTGCCGTTCGCTGTCTTCATTGCTTAAGCTCCCTATCTATACATCGAGGCCTCGGTCTGAGATTTCTCTGTAATGACCAAACGCACGAGGTTAATAAGTTCTTTATTATATGGCCTTTTTAGCGTCTTTTTCTTTAAAGTTGACTTCCAACACAGGGAAAAAAAACCTAAACAATAACTTAAAGTCATAGCAGCCTAACACTGTCGGCCCTTGCCATAGGGTACTTTGAGGTCTTGTCTAAGTGGGCTACGAAATTCCACTACCTCTTGACTATTTTCTATTGTTTGTTTCCTTCTTTGACATATTTTTTCCTTGAAATATATAGATCCTCTTGGAATGGAAAGCGGGGCCATTTCTGATGCTCAAATAAGTGCATCTTCACATTATACCAAGAACTGGCGACGTGACTATTCTGCAAAAAAGGCAAGGCTAAATTCGAGACATTCGTGGAGTAATAACGGATGCTGGGCAGCGGCTACAAATGATCTTCACCAGTGGCTTCAAGTGGACCTTGGTGGTTACACCAAAGTAACACGTGTTGCGACTCAGGGAAGTGGATACGGACTCTCAGAATGGGTGACAAAGTTTAAGATCCGGTATAGCTCTGACGGAGTCATATGGCAATTTTACAAAGAGCCTGGTAATTCGAATGCTTCAGCAAAGGTGCGCTGGACTTGCTAAATAGGGAGCTTAAGCAACGACGACGGCGACGGCAACGGCAAAGAGGACGGCAAAAAAGCAATAGGTTTGATTAGCAAAACAAGAACTTTGCACGTGCATCACGTTTTTTAGTACATTTCTTTGCCGTCGTTTCACGACCACAACGTAAAAGTGCCCAAATTCACGTTTTGTCGAGGACGGGAACACAAGACAACAACTTTCTTTTTCTTTTCCTGAAATTTGTTACAGTACTTAGGACGATAAAGTTTGAAGCAGCGCGAATTTTGTCACTTCTTAAGTGACGTTTTTGTAGCCATCGCCGTCGATTTTGTTTAAGTGCGGGTAAATAATGGCCGCTCTCCAAGCTGAAGGAGAATTTAAGCAGTGTTATATTGTTGAGTACTCTAGACGTGACTGGCAGAAATCTACATTTTTATCCAGTTATATTACAAGTCTTAATTCTATGCTTTGTGCAATCATTTTTATTAATTCGGAGAAAAATTTCGACCTTGCGCCACTGCAACTACGGGACTAAAGTCCTCGGGGCCTCCGGATTACAGTTCCAGCGTTCTCACTGCTAAGCCGCCCTGCCTCAAAGGACTGCTTAGTATTGTCATACACGTAAATGATTCTTTTTCCAGGTGTTTACTGGGAATTCTGGCGGTCCCAATAGAATTGTTTATAAGCGACTGAATGAACCCATCTTGGCACGATATATTCGAGTTGTGCCGGTGGCATGGTTTAACCACATAACGATGAGAGTGGAAATCTACGGTTGCCAAGGTACTCTTTTATTTATTATATCCATTTTGAAATCATTGGTGATCCCTGCAATCTGACTGGCTTTCAGCATTATAGTTTCCTCACGAGTCTTACTTTTTTTCTTTTTTTTTTTACCCTCAGTCGTATTCTAAATCCCATCATTTCTCTTCTAAGTTGCACCCGGAGTGGTAAATGGATGAAAATCGGTATAGATAAAAATCGATAGCAATCAAGTGATTTTTATCGATTGATAACGGAAATCGGTGGAAATTGATAGACTAAATTGCTGATTTTAACGATTTATAACGGTAAGTCCGACATTGTTGTTTTTTTGGCATAAGTTACATAGTACAGCTGAGAAAACACATCCACGAGTAACAACTGATCAACAAACATGAAAATAAAAAATATGGAAACTATTACAGACGCAAGATTCTCTCTAAAACCGTGACCCTTTTGCACATAATAACAAGAACGGTTCGGTTTTATTACATTCGCAGTTCTGGCAGGCAAGTACCACGAGAAATACAACTTTAGATAAAAGATTTTCCAGCCAGAATTTCAGACATCCTCTGGAGTGTCTAGAGTCGAAGGGATGCCTGAAACTCAGGCTAAAAGATTTCCCTAGATAGCTTTTCACCGTTTTCCGTTATCAATCAATAAAATCAATTGATCACTAACGATTTTTATCGATTTCGATTTTTATCTATTGGCTAGAGGAAGTAACTACACGTGGAACTGATGTTATTTTGACAGGGTGGCAGATCTAAGTCGTGAAAAAAGTACATTTATTCATATTCAAACTAAATTTTCATATATTCAAACTAATCTAAACTCAATATTCAATATTCCGATTCCACCCCCTTCTTCCCACATGCATGATCATTCGCCATGTTCTAAAAGAGTGAAAAAAAATCTGGATACGATATACGACCACAAAGTTTCTTGGGATCGTTTGGAGGCACAACATGAAAGTCAATAAACAGGTCGTAACGCTACATGTCGTTACAAACTGCAATGATAAGTTAAGAAATGCAACTATTCTTTACTCATAATGTACTACAGAACTCTCAAAGAGCCTAATGCACCAACTATGTCTCCTTCAGTCTGAGTAACCTTCAGAGCGTTTTTAAGAGGTGACCTGCTGCTCTCCGCCATGGTTTTGCTCTGTATTTATATTGTCCACTGTTTCTTTGATCTGTAACTATATTGTCCTACCGTTAAGGGTCCGCTACCATAATACTCCAACATTTTAATTTCTACTTATCGTTATTGACTGTATTACAGGTTGTGTAGCTTCACTTGGTATGGAAAATGGAGTAATCTCTGATGCCCAGATAAGTGCCTCTTCTCAGTGGGATGACAATCATGGTCCACATAGAGCTCGATTGAATAGGAGAAGGTTCGGAAACAAGAGGGGAGCCTGGAGCTCTTTAAACAATGACATTTATCAGTGGCTTCAGGTTGATCTTAGGACATATACCACAGTGACTCGCATAGCGACTCAGGGCAGAAGTGATTTGAACCAATGGGTTACCAAGTACAGGTTACAGAACAGTGAAGACGGAGTGAACTTCCATTTTTACAAAGCACTAGGACAAGATTCACCAAAGGTACGCCCAGGTAGTATTCTTCTCGCCTTATTTTAAGTAATCCGGATAATTCCGGAATTCGGCAAACTTTTGCTTAATTCGTGATCCGGCAAGACGGTGATGCTTGTGGAATCCGAAATCCTGTTAATGAAGCTCAAAGAATCCGAATATTCCGCTAACGATTGGAATCCAGAATCTAGTGCCTGGATTCTGGTGGTGGATCCCACACCGTGGAAAAACGCACTGCGCATAAGCACAAGATTTAACATTCGGTCAGCTTTTTATTTCTGGTCTAGTAAATGAACCAATTGCGTAAGCATAACATTGCCGTCGCGCCAAGTTTAAAGCATAAAAGCAGAAACAGACAAAAAAGGGGGCGAAAAAAATCAAAGTTTGGACCCTTCCCTTCCCCCCCCCCCCCCCAAAACACAAATTTTAACATTCGGGAAGTGTTTGTTGTCGGGTTAAGGAAATAAACCAATTGGGAAAACAAAAAATTGCCGTCGGGCAAATTTAAAAACAAAAAAGAAAAAAAGAAAAAAAAAGGGGGCAAAAAAAACAAAAGTTTGGCCCCTTCCCTTCCCCCCCCCCCCCCATTCAAAAATTCCTGGATCCGCCCCTGTCTACGTTGCTTGGTTGTTGTTGTTGTTATTATTAATTATTATTATTAATTTGCTGTAGTTAATAAAATTCATTTATAGTTCAAAAAGTTTCGAGCCAATTATAATTAAAAATATATCAGTGTATAAAATAATTGTTTATTATGTTTGGATAGTTGTTTGAAGGAAACAAAGACAGAAACACCATTGTTTACCAAACATTAAGCCAGCCAATCAGAGCGCGTTATGTCAGGATACTTCCGGAGGCTTGGTACGGTCACATATCGATGAGAATGGAACTCTACGGCTGTTCAGGTATTTTTTTAAAAAAACTGCCTCAGGATTGTTCATTTTTTTAAAAGTAACCCATCTTAATAAGACTTTTGATAAGGCAGAACATACGTGGAAACAAAAAGCTAGGCCGACTGTCTAGCCAATCCGGAATTATTTGAAAATTCTTCAGGGGCGTCTCTATCTCCTGAAGAGGTCAGAAGCTGTCCTAGTGGACTTTCTCAAAGCCCCCCGCTTTCAATTTCTTCTTCCGGTAGTAGCTCACTTTTGCCGCAGAAGACAAAAAAATCTCCCGCCCGTGCTTCGCGCTCGGGAAAATTTTTTAGCCCGACTTGAGGGTAAGCCTAGTATCCCAGCTGCATGTGCAGTCAGCCTTGATTTATTTATTTATTCTAAGACCTTCCTGACGTGATGAAAATTGATGAAAATTGAAATCAAAATGGAGGCCCGAAACGGAAGGCTCTTGATCTGGACGATCTTGCGGGACTGTGAACAATCTACCCATGGCAATTGATACCGTTGTGGTGTTCCCACAACGAGGTTCTTTGTCTACCATTCCTGATCGAATTGGTTGGTTTCCGATGAGATAAGAAAAGCGAATCCGGGAGTACCCCGCAACGATAAAACATTCTGTATGTAATCGGATATGATGTCCCTTGACTTTCGCGTAGATGTGTCCTATAATTGCTTTCTGAATTTTACCGAATAGAACATTACAATAACCACACAACAGACAGTTATCATATTAAGAGTTTGTATTTAACAGGTTGTATAGCTCCTCTTGGGATGGAAAGTAGAACAATTCTTGATGCTCAGATAAGCGCATCTTCACAAATGGATAGCAACCACTCTGCATCACATGCAAGGCTGCATTTGCTGGCAGATGGGAGCACATTTGGCGGCTGGTCTGCTCTCACAAATGATGTCAACCAATGGCTTCAGGTGGATTTCGATAGCTACACGCTAGTTACACGGATAGCGACCCAAGGGGAGAATGGCTACAGCAACTGGGTGACCAAATACAAGTTAAAGTATAGTGATGATGGTACTACCTTCCAGTTTTACAAAGACGTCGGAGGTACATCTCCAAAGGTACTCCGTGATCAGCATCAAATTTCTCCTTGTAATGTCAATGCTTTGTAAAACAGAGTGTTCATGAGAATTACGGACATGATCACACGAGATGAATTTGCCTGATATTTTTATCAACTTCTCCCACTACTTCTGTAGGAAATGAATAGGGGCAACAAATGAGAATTCAAAGAAGTGTTTGAAGGGTTAACAAACCTCAAGGTGTAGTCCATCCCATCCCTTCAGACCTCCACCCTGAGTCAGACTCTATCAACTGCTACCCTCCTTAACCCATTCGCTTCTAAGCCGCCAGTAACCGCCCGTGCGGATCCACGTCCTTTCTACCGCCTGTAATGTCATTACTTTTGATGGTCGAGGACAACTTTGTCCGCTAACTTAAGCAGAGTGAATAGATCTTTCAAACCACACCATAATGAGTACAATTCGGTCAAGGACACCTGAGAAAAAGTCAAAAAACCACGTAACATTGACCTGAAAATTTCCATGAAAATCTTGTTCCACTACCCACCTACCTTTCCTTTCATCTAATCCTAAGATCCTAAAAGCTTTCCTAAAAACTTTTTCCTCGAAAATGAAGCCTACTAAATTCCGAGGAAGAGAAAACAAAAATGAGGCGAGAAAAGCAAAAAAAGAGGGGAGGAGAGAAAGCGAAAAGTAAAAGTCAAGACTGTTGTGTCACTTTTAAACCCAAGAACCCGAAATTTTTGCTTTCTGCGCATAACCGAACTTCGCAAGCTACAATTGTGCATCTGGATCAGAAGGCCGAGAAGTGTACGACCTCTACACGGCTTTGTGGTAAGTTTTCGCTCTTTATAGCATGACAGTGACCAGAAAACCGCTCGACTAGCCTCAAAACGGGTTTTCCGGCAAAATCTCCAGGGGCGAATGGGTTAAATAGATTTCAATACAGTCAAACCCAGTTAATAGGGACACTGAGCAGGCCATAGAATGTGTCCGTATCAAAAATTTAAGGAATGCCTTTCCCTAAGAACAAACCAAACTACCCGTAATAACTAGATGTCCGTATTAGGCGGGTGTACGTTAAGCAGGGTTCGACTGTATTTTAATTTATTATTTTTCGGTTGGATCGGTAATTTATAGTCACCATTTTCACATAGACCATAAGGCATCTTGTTTACCCCAAAAAATTTTGCATAACCATTGTTTCCAATTTCTCTTGGGTATTACAGTTGTCCCAAGAGAAATCGAAGACAATAGTTATGCAAAATTTTTGAATGTAAACAAGGTGCATTATGGCCTATGGAGATCGAGGAGGGTGTTAACACCCTCCAAGATCTCCATAATTCTTCATATGATACGAAAGCCGAATTCAATAATTGTTTTATTATTCATTCAAAATAATTCCTAGTTTAAAAGCGTAGCTAAAACATGCTTACCTCTATCGATGCTAAGTTCATCTTCGATAGAGCACGTTTAGGGTTGTTCAGCTCCGCAAATATTCTCCAAATAGTAGATGTCGCCCTTCGAGTTGTCTTCCTACTGTTCTTGCCACGTTTTTAGCTATTACTTCGCCTAGTTCTTCCTCTTGAATCACCATTTTTGTTGTCACAACCAAAACAACTCAACCTCGTCCCCAGGTCTTCTCGGTTAACGGTGCATTAACCTGCAAGAAAGCTGTACGGTTATCATTAGATCCCATCGACCGTAGCCCCTTCGGACACCTCATGAAATTTACACAACGTTGTTTTCCCCTTTTCTAATTAGGGTTAAGCAGTGCCTTTTATAGATTAGAGTTAAGCGCTGTCTTTACAGATTAGGGTTAAGCACTGCCTTTACTGACAAGGGTCAAGCACTGTTTCGAAACTGGTTGATGCAAAATGTACTTAAATTATTTCCCTCTCGTCCAACAAATCCTTAGTGGTCTAGTGGTTAGCGTGGTGAACTGGTTCTTCTGATCTTGAGTTCGAATCCTGCTGTCCATCATTACAAAAATTTTTTCTTTTAAATTGAAGAGACTTGCACTTTCATGAACATTTCCATCTTAAAATATCATCTAAGTGTGGTGTAAAAGCAGAAAACAGTCCTTCCTTGTGTAAATTTCGTAAGGGGAGAAAGGGGCTACGGCCGATGGGATCTAATGCTGACCAAGCTGCACTTTTGACGTCATTGGTTGATTAATCGCAAAATTCTTCCAAATTCGGTCATCAGTAGCTGGTTATGGTGAATTATGCCTGTGCTTTTAGCAAATCAGAATCGGGGAAATATTTTGAATGAATAATAATCATTTTGAAGTCGATCTCCGGGGACAGTTATTAAAACACAGTTTTATCGTAACTTTCAGGTGTTCAGTGGAAACACAGATAGTGAAACGGTTGTGTACAACAAACTTCCATCGTCGATCAAGACACGCTTCATTCGTCTTTTGCCAACGCAGTGGAGAAATCAGATTTCAATGAGGATTGAAGTTTACGGTTGTCCAGGTAATAAACTGATAATGATTGAAAAAATTGGCTTATTTTACAATAGAGTGGACACTTTTTTTCGGCACGAACATTCGCCATTAGGAAATAGCCTATACTTGTTTAGCCTGTGCCAGGCTCTCGGTCAGTGTAGGCAAGCGAAAAAAAGGGCGAGCAGTGAAATAGCGACCGAATGATGGCGGGAAGAGAGAAGGGGAAACAGCCCGCAAGCATCTTTACAAATATCACGGTCTGCCCACTACCCCGCTCACTTCATGAAAAATCGTTTCTCGTGTTAA